GTTCACTACTTTCCTTCCACGTTCAACCTCCCCCTCCCTGACTTTTACATCTCGTGTCATTACATAAGGTTAAAGGTAGGAATTACGTGTCATCATGCATGACGTCGGTGTAAGAGAGATAACAGTACCAGAGAGTCTGGCTTGAATGCGCGCAGTATTAGCGACGGATAATGGCACTGGATTACGTAATTCGGCGCTGTGTGGCGCTGTATATGTTTGCCTTCACACGCGGCTATAGGCGTTCCCAGCAATACTCGCGCCGTATCTCCCTCCCTGCGGGTTGCTTCCGTCGTCGCTCGCATGTTCGCAGGAAACTGTCAGTGTCGTTTGTCGACGCGTGTGATCGGCTGTTGATATTTATTGATCACGCTGCTGCTGCTGGCATTGCTCCCGCCCGTACGCTCACAGCCCCGGTGCGTTCACACACGTGCTGTCATTGCTCCCGCCCGTACGCTCACAGCCCCGGTGCGTTCACACACGTGCTGTCATAGCTCCCGCCCGTACGCTCACAGCCCCGGTGCGTTCACACACGACACTGCTGGCGTGTTCACACAACCAACTCTGTATAGTGCATTCGCACAATGTGTCTCTCACACACACGATTACACAATGATACACGATGTCTTATTACTGTCTTATTACTCGTCGTGCGATGCACGAGCGTTACTACATTGTGGTAGGCGTATTCCTACAATGTAGGTGTATTCGTATAATTCAGATGCATACCTACAATGAAGTCCTATAATTCAGATGCATACGCTACAGATGATTAGTTCCTATAATTCAGTGATCCAGTAACTTACAATGAAGTCCTATAATCAGATGGCATACCGTATCAATGAAGTCCTCTTATAATTCAGATGCATAGCTAAACACTGAAGTCCTATCACATATCAAGCACTGCATTACACCTGACCAATGAGAGTCGCTCATAATTCAGGATGCATGACGCTTACAATGAAGTCCCTATACATTCAGATGCAGTACCTACAGACTGAAGTCTTATAATTCATCAAAATGCATACCTACAAATGAAGTCCTATAGATTCGAGATGGCATACCTACAAATGATTGTCTATACATTCGAGATGTCATACCCCAACTGAATTGAAGTCATTATAATTTCAGATGCATACCTACAATGAAGTCCTTAATTCAGATGCACTAAACCTAGACAATGAAGTCGCTATAAATTCAGTGGATGCATACCTACAATGAAGTCCCTATAATTCGAGAATGCATTACCTACATATGGCAGTCCTATAATTCAGATGGCATACCTACAGATGAGTCCGTATAATTCATATGCATACTCACAATGAAGTCTATAATTCAGATGCATACCTACAATGAAGTCGTAATAATTCAGATGCATACCTACAATAAAAGTCGGCTGAATAATTTACAGATTGCAGGTAGCTTTACAATGAAGTGCCTGATAATTCCAGATGCATAGCCTACAATGAGTCCTATAATTCAGATGCTACTACCTATAAGATGAAGTCGTATAATTCAGATTGCATATTCTATACAATGAAGTCGCTATAATTCAGATGCATACCTACATGAAGTCGGCTACTAATTCATACGCATACCGCACGAAATGAAGTCGCTATAATTCAGATGCATACGCTACAATGAAGTCCTATAATTGCAGGATGCATACTACACATGAAGTCCTATAATTCAGATTCATACTACAATGAAGTCCTATAATTCAGATGCATACCTACAATGAAGTCCTATAATCTCAGATGCATATCGCTATCAATGAAGTCTATATATTCAGATGCAATATCTTACAATGAAGTCCTATAATTCAGATGCATACCTAAATATGAAGTCGCTATAATTTCATGAATGCATGACCCACAATGAAGTCGTATTCTATCATACTAAAGATCTATTCAGATGCATACCGCCACAATGAGTCCTAATAATTCAGATGCCTACCCCAATGAAGTCACTATAATTCAGATGCCTACCTACAATGAAAGTCCTATACATTCAGGATGCTCCAATCCTCACCAATGAAGTCCTAATAATTCAGATAGCATACCTCCACATAAGTCCTATAATTCATGATGCATACCTACAATGACAGTCCTATAATTCAGATGCATACACTACAATGAAGTCCCTATAATTCAGTATGCCATACCTACAAATGGAAGTCCTATACATTCAGATGCATACCTATAGACGCAATGAAAGTGCCTATAAATTCAGATATGCATATCTATACAATGAAGTCTATGAATTCAGATGCATACGCTACAATGAAGTCCTATAATTCAGAATGCTAGCTCACAATGAAGTCGGCTATAATTCAGATGCAATACTTACAATGACAGTCTATGAATTCAAGCTGGGCATACTACAATGAAGTCGGCTAATAATGTCAGCATGCATACCTACAAGTGAAGTCCTATAATTCATGATGCATAACGCTAAAACAATGAAGTCCTTATAATTCAGGATGCCAGTATCTATACATGGATAAGTCCTATAAATACAGATGCATACCTATATGAATGAAGTCCTATAATTCAGATGCATACCTACAATGAAGTCCTATAATTCAGATGGCATACCTACAATGAAGTCCTATAATTCCCATATGGCTCTCATACCTACAGGTGAAGTTCGCTATTAAATTCAGATGCATAACTACCAATGAAGTCCCTATAATTCAGATCGATAACCTATCAATGAAGTCCTATATATTCAGATGGCATCCCTACAATGATAGTCCTGATATTTCAGATGCATAACACTACAATGAAGTCCTATAATTGGCAGAATGCAGTACGCTACGAATGAAGTCTAATTAATTCATATTGGCATACCATAAAACAATGAAGTCCCTATAATTCAGATGGCATACCTATCACATGATGTCCCTATAATTAGATGCATACCCACAATGAAGTCCGTCATAATTCAGGATGCATACCTAACAATGAATGTCGCTATAATTCAGAATCATAACCTACAATCGAAGTCGGGCTATAATTGCAGATGCTAGCCTATCAATGAAGTCGCTATAATTCAGATGGCATACGCTACAATCAGTCCTAATAATTCAGATGCATAGCCTAACAATGAAGTCCTATAATTCATATGCATACGCCACAATGAAGCGTGTCCACTATTAAATTGTCACGGAGTGCATACCTACAATGTAGAGTCCTTATAATTCAGATGCATTAAGCTACAATGAAGTCCTATGAATGTCAGCATGCATTACTTACTAATGAAGTCCTATAATTCAGATGCATACCTACAATGAAGTCCTATAATTCAGATGCATACCTATACAATGAAGTCCTATAATTCAGATGCATATCTATACAATGAAGTCCTATAATTCAGATGCATACCTACAATGAAGTCGCTATAATTCATACGCATACCGCACAATGAAGTCGCTAGTAATTCAGATGCATACCTAGCGAATGAAGTCCTAATAATTCAGATGCCATACTACAATGAAGCTCTAATAATTCAGACTGCATACCTACAAATGAAGGTCGCTATAATTCAGATGGCATACGCTACAATGAAGTTCCCTATAATTCGATGCATGACCTAATAGCAATGAAGTGCCTATAAATTCAGTATGCATATCTATAACACATGAAGTCTATATCAGATGGGCATACCTAAAGCAATGAAGGTCGCTATAATTCATACGCAACATACCACAATGAAGTCCTAATGAATTCAGATGGCATACCCAAATGAAGTCCTAGTAATTCAGAATGCCATACGCTACAATGAAAAGTCCTATAAATTCAGATGCATACCTACAATGAAGTCCTTATAATTCAGATGCAATACTACATGAGTGCTATAATTCAGTATGCATACCCACAATGAAGTCCTATAATTCAGATGCATAACCTACAAATAATCCCTGATAATTCAGATGGGCATAGCCTAAATGAAGTCCTAACTAATTTCCAGATGCATACCTACAATGAAGTCCTAATAATTCATGCAATACCTATAACAATGAGTCGCTATAATTCAGATGCCCATATCTATACAATGAAAGTCCCTATATATTCAGATCAATACCGTACAATGAAGTCGGCTATAATTCAGAGTGCATACGTCACAATGAAGTCTATAATTGGCAGATGCACTACTTAGCAATGAAGTCCTATAATTCAGATGCATACCTACAATGAAGTCTATAATTTCAGATGCATACCTCAGTGAAGTCATAATAATTCAGATCATTAACGGCTTACAGATGAAGTCCTGATACATTCAGATGCAGTATCTATAACAATGAAGTCTATAATACCAGATGGGCTACCTATCAGAGATGAGTCGTATAATGTCAGATGCATATCCTACAATGAGTCCTGAAATAATTCAGATCATACCTACAATGAAGTCCTAGTAATTCACTGATGCTACTACAGTGAAGTCGCTATAATTCAGATCATAATCCTAACAATGAAGTGCGCTATTAAATCAGATCATAACTACAATGAAGTCCATAATTCAGGATTGCATACCTAACAATGAAGTCCTATTAATCAAGATGCCATAACCTACAATGAGTACCTATGAATTGTCAGAGTGGCATACCTACAGGTGAAGTCCTATAATGTCAGATGCATACATACAATGAAAGTCGCTATAATTCAAGTATGCATACCTGACAATGAAGTCTATAATTCAGATCATAAGCGCTACAAATGAAGTGCCTATAATTCAGATTGCATACGCTAGCAATCGAGTCTATAAATTCAGGGAAGTGCATACCTACAATGAAGTGCTATAATTCAGATGCATACCTACAACATGAAGTCATATATATTCAGATGCATACGCTGCACAGTGAATGAGTCTTGGCTTTGTGCTCCTTAAATTGGCAGATCACTCTAAACATACTACAATGAAGTCGCTACTGAATTTCAGATGGCATACCTAACTAATGGAAGTCCTATAATGTCAGGATTTTGCATAGCCGTACAATGAAGTCAGTTACCCTAAATTCAGTATGGCATGAACCAGTGCGCTAAAGAGCAGATGAAGGTCCTATAATTCCAGATCATAACCTACAATGAAGGTCCTATATATATCAGATGCATCACCTACCAATGAAGTCCTATAATTCAGATGCATACCTACAATGAAGTCCTATAATTCAGATGCATACCTACAATGAAGTCCTATAATTCAGATGCATACCTACAATGAAGTCCTATAATTCAGATCATAACCTACAATGTACTATACTAGGAGTATTCGTACAATGCTGGTGCATTCCTACTATACAGTTCATGTCCATTCGCTCAATCCATGCATGTGCACTCGGCCACTCATACAATCTTGGTGCATTCGTTTAATCTTCGTTCATTCATACAATACTGGTGCGTTCGTTTAATTCTTGTGCATTCATAAATTACTGGTGCATTCGTTTAATTTTTGTCCATTCATACAAGATTGGTGCATTCGTTTAATTCTTGTCCATTCATACAATGCTAGTGCATTAGTACAATGAAATTGCATTCGTCTGATGTGTAAGCCTATTGGTACCAGTAGCGCATTAATAGGCAAGGAGAAGAAAATAATAGCGGCAAATCTGCCTTCATTCGTAAGCCTGTCAATGGGTGAAGTCGCTACACTAGGTTTGTTGATTGATTTGTTTTATGAAGTGATGTTACCTATTAGGCGTTTATAGTCACCATTGACTGATCAAATGACTGATTTTAATCTTACTAATACTAGGTCGTACAGTTCTAGGTATATAAGCGCAGACTGAAACCGTAAAAAATGTTTTGATGTTTTGAAACCATATTGATGGTTGATGGTGATTTGTTCGTATTAGTATAGGTATAAGCTGATGCCTCAGTGTTATCTTCTTTAGGAAAAACTCCGCCAAAACATGAACTAATGAATCTTCGAGAATTAATCTTCGGTTTTCCCCGTAAAGTTAATATCTGTTTAATATCATCTGAAGTTGCGAGCGTTTGCCGCCGGATCATGCATTATTGACTCGCGCTAAATATTACATCTCTCGAACATCAAGCCAGGATCAGAACTCCACGCTTGTTAATTATGTACGCACGCACGCACGCACGCGGTTCGGTTTGCTCATGCGCTGTCGCTATCCCGCCCCCGTATAGCATTTTGCGTAAACCATTACTTTCTTTTGACTGCGTCTCTCCTTTGTCTTTCATTTCCCGCCGCTTGCTTCATTGTCTGCTGCTGCTGCTGTTGTTGCTGCTGCTGTTGCTGTTGTTGTTGCTGCTGCTGTTGCTGTTGTTATTGCTGCTGCTGTTGTTGTTGTTGCTGCTGTTGTTGTTGCTGCTGCAGCTGCTATTGTTGCTGCAGCCGCCGCCGCTGCTGCTGCTGCTGCAGAGTATACTGTGGTTACTATGGGGTTATCGTCGTTCTTCAACGACGTTATTCACCTGAGCTTACCCCCTCCTCTCCTCTAATTCGATCCGCATCCAGCACTGCCGTCTTTGCATGCTCGTCCATTTACGCCGATTAGCATCGCGCTGTTCTGTTTTAGCGTTCTTCCCTGTTTTCCTCCCTCGAGCTGTCATCGGCGGTGATCGTTAACGGCGGCGGCTCACAGCTCTTGTCTCCACCCTGCTCCTCCCCTGTTCCTCGTGCCTCTCCGCAGTCCCGTGTGTGTGTGTGTGTGTGTGTGTGTGTGTGTGT